AAAGAGTATGTCCCTCTTGGCATAAAGCGTTTTAATTTTGATTTCACTTCCACTAACTGCCATTTTAAATTATTATAATAAAGTTATATTAATCATAATTAATCTCACACGCATAAACGACGTAGGATGAACACTCGGCGTGCCGTATTACGTTATTAGATCGAACACCCGTTGCGGTCGAGTCTACGCGTCGTTTGCTAAACCTAGTAATTTTATCAAAATTGTGGGGTAAGCGTATCAAACGGTTGCTATCACACCGTTTCAATTATTTAATAAGCTTTAAATTTAACCAAATACGAGCGCTATTAAATGAATAATTCTGTTTGCGAGTACCAAATCAAATTTTTAATTTAAACGAACACTATTTAAGTCTATTCCATAAATTAGAGTGCGTTATCTAAACAATTAATTTAATAATTCTACCAGAAAATGGTTGGATAACCACTAAACATCAATCCAGATCCTGCCGAAGTGACCATAAAATGGTGGAGCCACGTGTTTAAGGCTGCCGAAAATCTAGTTCCCCGGTCAAACCTCAAACCTATTATGCGAGATATTAACTAAAGTGGACTGTATTTGCGATTGCTTCTACGCTTACGTAAAGCGACTACTATAGCATGCGGTACAATGCACTCGCTCTTCCCTAAACTAAACTATTACTTGCCAAATCGATGAAAGGAATCCTGCCTGATGAGGAGAACACAGAATTGGAACGGTTAAAACAATTATTAAATATTAATCAGGCAGTAAATTAAGGAATATTGACTCACCGGGGTTTCTTCTATCCTGTCGATCACTATAGCGACTTCTGGAACACTCCGGAGAGAGGCGGTGCGCGACGATATCTCACACGAGGTGAGGCGGGTTCCTGGAGCTCGACTGCTTCCAGGCCAAAGCGGTTTCCACTAGTGAGGTGTTTCCAAACGAGCGCGCGGGAAGAGAGTAGAGCGCGCGTCGGTCGCGCGTGTCTTATATATCCTCGGCTCCGATGATTACGCGATGTTCTAGAATCGTCTTCTTTCCCCTCCCACCCCATCACCTCGATGTGTTCATAGGAGGGTACGAATGATATCGTTTTGGAAAGGAATAATGATTCAGCAAGTTCCTACCGTCATAAATAAAAAACGCGAATGGTTTTCCGCGCAACCAAACGTAATTAAGCCAGCGCTTAGTTATGTCAGTTGGCAGTTGCTCATCCCATCCTATGCTTCCATAAATCTTGCATTATTTCTTTCGCGATGAAAATGCACGGCGAAATAAAACCTACGGGGTCGTAAATAGAAGCTAACAATTTCAAAACAGAACGTTTAGTTATTACTTTGTCGGTCTTATCTACTGCGAAATAAAAATAGTTAGTCAAAGGGAACCACTTCAGACCTAGCACTTTGCCTGAATATTCGTTACCATCTTTCAGGAATGTTACAGGACACTCTCGGTTTTCTAACGGAACGCGTTGTAAGAGCTTTCCGCTATTACTCGCCCATCTCTTAAGTATAAAGCCACCGGAATTAAACATTGCTATAAGTTTATCTTGTAACTGAGATATCTGTGACAAGGAACTACTAGAATATAGGATATCGTCCATGTACACGTCCTCGCGCACAACCGTTGCAGCGAGCTGATAGTGTTCTCCCTCATCATAGGCTAATTGCAAAAGTGTGCGGATAGCTAAAAACGGCGAGCAACTTAAGCCGTAAGTGACAGTCTTTAATTCATATACTAAAATTCAATATTATAGCCCCAATATCTCGATACAGATTAGGCCCGGTTAGTAGAATATCATTAAGTGAAACATTCGTGGACATTTTTGCCGAGGCATCGAACACCACTCGCAAAGGAGTGGTGGAACTACTGGGCTTAAGTATACTATGATGTGGTATCACTCGTACTCGGATTGTCACCCGTATAAAGCTCCATATGCCCTAGATATTCATATTCGCACATAAACTCTGAATAGGCTTGTCGTAATAAAGGTAAACGATTCAACTTGCGCTCTGTGAACAAGAGTCGTCGCTCGGCTGTCGCCCTTGAAGCGCCCAACGGAGGCGGGTCTGGTATGAATGGTAACGGCACGGAATAGCTACCGTCCTCATTGCGGCTAGAACGAGCCACGAAAATATCTTCTGCTAATTGTTCCAAATGAATTATCGAAGGCTTGCTGGGCAATTCTTCGACTTCCCAAAACTTACGCAACGTTTGATCTAAAGACTCTTGTTCATCAAACAAGACTGATAAATTATAATTTCTTAAATTGTCCTCTTCATTGCAATAAAGTTTACCACTTACAACAAACCCGAAAGCGGTATCGATCACGCTTGGTATATCCGATGAAATAATATAAGGTTTATCATAAATAAGTTCCGAAACTATATCATTGCCCAACAATATATCAATACGTGAGCGCTTATAAAACATCGGATCAGCTAAATTAAAATTCTTATATTTATTAATAACGTCCGAGGGGAATCGAACGTTAGGCATATCGGCAGATACCTTAGTCACTATGACCATGTTCACACTAAAACTAGGCAAGTCAGTGTGTAGGAACCTTAATGTGCATGAAAGCATTCCATGATTTTTACTGCCTCTCCACCAAGGCCATAAAAGTTAAACGAACATTTTTTCCGAGGTAAGCCCAAACGTTGAGCGCACTCAGTTGTGATAAATGAGCTCTGAGCTCCAGAGTCAATAACTGCACGGCAGTATTGATACTGACCGCCACTATCAATTGCTAATACACGCGCCGTTCCCAAAACGACACCGTAATTCGAGTGAACGTCGTTGTATGGTGTATCTATCGTATAATGCTCCGTATCGCTCGTAGTCTGAGAAGAAACGAGTGCTTGTTGCACTTGCGAGTCAGCGCACAATAAACTGGTGGATGATGGCAAAACCGCGTCGCGTACAGGCTCCCTATGCAATAGATAATGATGTAATGACGCACATACACCACAAGACATCTCACTTTTACAAGTTGAAGTATCATGATTTCCTTTTAGGCAATTATGACACAATTTTAAAGTATTGACATGGTCAATCCTTTTATCTACGGTCAATTTACGAAATTGATCGCACCTGTAAATCATATAATTTTGATTGCAATGCGCGCAAATCAATTTATTTTTATTTTTATTATAATTCGACACATTAGTATTTAAAACTGTTTTTGATATACTTTTATTGTAGTTATTATTGTTGCTTTTGTAATTGTTACCTGTAGGCTTATTTCTTGATTGTAACGAAATCGCACTTGTATTAGATGAATGTTCGAGTACTTTAACTTGTTTATTTACAAAACTAATTAATTCCGAAAACAATGGAAGTGAGTTTTGTTTCTTCAAAAAGCCTCCTAGTATGCGCATCCAACCCACGTATGGCTAAATGGCAAAATAAATAGTCATGCAAATTTTTTATTTTTAACGCCTCGATGGTTTTAAAAGAGTGATCGAATGTTTCAATAAATAAGGTAAGATTTGCGGTAGTATCCTTATTTAACGGCGTAAAGTTTATCATTTTGTCGATGTACCTACCCACGAGTATTCGATCATCTTGATATTTATTACATAAACTTTGCCATACGAGAATATAATTAGAGGATGTTATAGGCAGTTTTTTTAACAATGTTTAACGCCGAACCTTTAACACATGAGAGTAAATAGTGAAACTTATCTATTTCGTCGAAATCTCGATTGTGAACAAGTGATACAAATGTATCGTAGAATGTTGACCACTTCTCAATATCGCCATCGAATTCGAATAATCACAATTTAGGTAATGACGGCCTTACATCAGTCCTATCTTTCCCACTGATGGGTGCCTGATCGCTCGGTTTTAATCGTAAATATTGTAATATACATGCCTCATAAAGTTCATCAAATGTATCCAATTCACGGGTTGACAATCTTGTCTCCGGTTTTAATGATATATCTATTTCAATAATATTTAACACTGTTTCTTCAATCTTTGAGCGGACACTTTCTAATTCGGAATAATCCGCTAAGAAATTCCGGATTTGTGCGGAATCATTCATTTAGGATTTCGCAAGATCGAAAACCTTTTGTAATTTAGCAAATAGGTATTCCTTTTTAATAATAAGTGTTTGCCTTTTTATCTGCAATTTGTCCGACATTATGAACAAAAACAACAATGTAAATTTAGATACTTTATAAACGTACCGCAAGCAATGAAAATTTAGGTAGAAAAGGCGAATTAAATAAGTGTTAAAAAAATAAAATGAAAAACGCTTAACTCAAGTATATGACGTCCACGGGACGCTAATTAAGGGTAAAAATTTTATATATGAAAATCACTAATTTAAATAAATGCGGCTCGAAGGCCAGAAATGTGGCGGCTTGGGATTATTTTTAAATTATATAGTGGACTGTATTGATATTCAATATCCCCTGAAACGTTCAGTTACCGCAATCACAATATTACACCAAGAAAACAATAAAACTAGTCATGGTCTTACTAGCCAGCTTCCCAAGATCGGCAAACGTTGACAGCTCCTGGTGGCTTCTTCTACACGGTAGAATACACTAGTAATTAGATTGTACACGGTACACTCTAGAGTAGTCCTTATTTTTTGTTTTGAACAGATATTCACTCCACGATAACACAAAGAGATGTAGGCTTCTTACGCTTCCTACCCTCCTTTTTTTTATTTTTTGTCCCCACAGATTATAGCAGCGCGTTATGCGTCACAATGTTGCCACAGGTTATCACCGGCTCTCAGATCGTTGCAGATCATTGAGCCTCGGTATAATATTTGCGAGTTGCGGTTTATTACTGAACAAGTGGTAAAGTTAAAAAGTTACTTTCAGTAAGAATTACATACATCATGTGATCTATATTAAATAAAAAATATTCTATTCTATTTTATTCTATTTATGTCGATGATGTGAACTCATAAGTTTAACCCATCCAAAAATCGCTCAACGCTCTTGTAGAAGTTTTCATTTTAAAAAATTAATGAAAATTCATTCCAACGGTGTACTCACCAGCCGGGTCGATGACCATAGGCATGCCAGTGCTCGGCCCTATCCTGAAGGAGTTGGGGTCACAGGGCCAGTATCGGATGGAGCAGAAGCCCACGTCCCTCCGCACACAGGTCCGATAGTCCTGAGAGGCAAGATGGCGGCCGTTTACTGCGTAGTTGAACGTCTTTATTGTACCTGGTTAGTAAAAGAATATTTATTAGAATCATGTGTTACTTTGCGGAAATCAATTATATATTAAGATGATAAATTATATATTAAGATGATAAAACTAATCAGCCGCGATAAGCGTAATAAAATAAAATTATTGTCTTACCTGGTTTGAAGAGCACCTTCGACCCTCCCTCAATTGCGCGCACTATCCTCGTCACCGCATATACCAACACCACTACACCAAGAAGAACACACCACCAACGATAAATAGGATACGTGTTTCGCCTCTAAGCGAGGCATCATTCAGATCAGCCACCGATGTATCGTGACAAGGATTAGTGCACGCAATTAAGAGAGGGCGGGAGGTGCTTCAAACTAGATAACACATCATTTTATTGTAATTAGCGGATCTTAGCTCATTTACTTTTAACAGTTATAAAAAGAATACTTCGCAAACATTCTTGGGTTGTCAGCTCACGTAAGATAGGAAATGGATATTCTTCATTAAAACAACCTTTTAATTGCTGACACTAAACCTCCATATTTCTTATCTATCCAATTAAAACTAAAAATAATGTCTTCCACACCTAATTTCGATCACGACAGCCAGTCTCATTATAGACTAGATGTTTGCGCAGGACAGGATTATAGCGTGTGCACAGGTGCAGTCTCTGTTCCCTTATAATCATAGTCCAATGAGACGTCAAATCAAAACACGACCGGAGAGCGATCAGGCGCAGGACCAACGACCTTTTCAAGGCACGGGTTGAAACGCTGTCAACTTCCTAATTTCAGAGTGTAACTGGGAATTAATTGACAGAAAAACTAAATATCTGGTTTTAACCCGACCCAGAATTCGAACTAGATACCCCATATGATCAGCAATTATGCTTGCGATCACTAGAACAACCAGGCAGTAAGTAGTAAATAACGACAATGCATCCCAGTTAAATAGTAGAATAATAAATACCGTGTGTGTGCGTGTGAGTGTGCGTGTGAGTGTGCGTGTGCGTGTGCGTGTGCGTGTGCGTGTGCGTGTGCGTGTGGGTGTGCTGTGCGTGTGCGGTGCCGTGTGCGTGTGCGTGTGCGTGTGCGTGTACGTGTGCGTGTGCGTGTGCGTGTGCGTGTGCGTGTGTGTGTGAGTGTGAGTGTATATATGTGTGTGCGCACTTACCATTGTTGTCGGTGTGGTACTGCAGGCAGGCATGCGGCGCGGCATGTGCTAGAGGCAGCTGCGCAAGACGCAGCAGCCACAGCCGCGGCGTCTCTTCGTCTCGCGCTCGTATCGTAACCCGCGTCGGCACTGTGCCGGCTAGCTCGTCTTCTTCTCGCTTCTCACTGTCCGTTGGCAGGTTGTAGTATACTGTTAAGATGTTGTGCCACACGTGAACATGTGTAAATTGCACCTTTACCTTATATTTACACCCTAATAAAGTCCACTGCTAAACCCAGACCTAAATTTCCTCATCGGCCTTATTTGCCTCGGCAAAAAAATACAGTCGTTATTGGGAAGGTACTGCTGCCCGTCTACTGATATGTTTCACTCTATCGCCTCTTACGAGACCCACTAGCTGTTGAGGTAGTGGATTTTTTTATATAGAAGAGGGGACATGCGGCTCACGAGATGCTCAGTGACTATCGCCGCCAATGAACAACTGCAACTCTAGGCGAATAGCAGGTGCATTGCCGGCCTTTTAGAAAGGAGTAAGCTATTTTCTTGAAGATGGTTAAGTCGCATTGATCCGGAAAAATCGCCGGTGGTAAAGTATTCTACAAAGAGGTCGTATGAGGAAGAAAACTCTTAGTAAAATATTATTACACCGCTCCCACACCTTAACGAATTTTGCACGCTATTCCATTCGGTTACCTAATAATATCCTACTAAAGACCGAATTTCGATCACCGCGGCTAGTCTCAACGGAGACTAGTCATCTGAGCAGGACAGGAAGCACATGTGCACTCTCTACTTCCCCAATCTCATAGTCTGATGGGACGGAAAACTGGCACGACCAGAAAGAGATCAGGCACAGGACCAACGGGTTCACGTGCTTTTCGAGTAACAGGGGTTAAACACCGCCAACTTCCTAACTCCGTGCCGTTGACAGAAAAACCAATACTGATTTGACCTACCCGATTGAACCCGCCTCATTCACGTGTTTACAGCAACTACACCAACGGGGCAGTCAATAATGCTATCAATTATTGTTATATTAACAGCATTACCCCTGAAACCATCGACTTCCTCTCTTCGATTTCTTACCAAGTATTTTAAACCGAGCTTGACTATAATCCCGCCCTATTGATAGGGGCGTATGAGCTATAACGCCACTTAAATAGTTGGTAAAAAAATATATAAAACATTTCGTTATTATCGCGTACGCGATAGTCAATTGTTATATAAAGTGTGTAATTGCATTTTACTCACTGTGTTGCCCATGATTTTGCCCACACACGGTAAAGTTGGTAGCTCCTTCGCCGACTATCATGGCGTCCTCGTCACATTCACCAGTTGTGCGGTTCGGCTGACCCTTGAAATAGAATTTTGCGAGGTCTATATAATCTTACTTACATTTATCATTATATATGCATACGCATAATGCGTGAACGCGAGCGCATATAGAGCGTGTGTGTGTGTGTCCATCCTATCTTAGTGACCACATATCTGCATTTTGATTCTTACTATACAATAATAAGAATTAAAATCTATGAGCCACAGCACTGTTTACCATCAGATGGACTGTGTGCTTGTCCGATATCAATTCAATATCGATTGATCCAATAACAAATCAGTTTCACGTAGAGCCACGCTGCAGCTATATTATGGATGTAGCGCTAATTGGTCGGCTCGACCGGAGAAGGACCACACTCTCACAGAATGCCAGCGTAAAATAGCAGCAATATGTTTCGTATGCTCGTAGGCTCTTAACCTACTGCTGGCAGTTTGCCGTATTATGGGCGCCAAAATTAGTAGTGCGTCCAGCCGTAGGAGGCTACGGGTGGACGCGCTACTAAACGTAAAAGTAGCGCCACCCCAGCCTGGAGAAAAATAATTGAGGACCGTATCGCAAAGACAAGGGCCGTATCGCAAAGACAAGGGCCGTATCGCAAATTCGTATGGTGAAGGTAGAGAAACGGAGAACCGTTTTACTGGAATCGAGACATTCTATCTTAGTCCTCAGAGGTGACATCGCATATATATTTTGATTCTTAATCGAGGTTAAATAATATGGGCCACAGCATCAACTTAATATCTGTTTAGTATGCTCGTTTATCACCACTTGTAAAAGAAGACATGTCACTTATAAAAAAGACACAAAATATAATTAATTCTGCAAGCCGCAACGGTTACGTTTCAAATCCTTAAGCCTTTAGATTGTATTTCGCTGCTCATTCTCTGAAATGCCAATCGGCACTTTTCTTGGTTACATTTGGCTAATTTGATTCAGCTTAAGGCTCACTAATTTCATTAACGTTAAGTCTTTTCCGCCGCCATACTTACTTTAAAGAGTAACATTAAAACTATTGCGCTAGTCATTGTTGACTGAAAGATACAATTAAAAAAAAACTATCGTTATTTTTTATAGAAGAAAACGAGTTTGCGGCCCATCTCATGGTAAGTGTCTACCACCGCCCATGAACAAGTGCAATACCTGGATAATAATGGTCCCTAAGTCGTATCGGTCCGTAATTCCGTAATTTATTAGGAAATACATAAACATATATGTATTTCGTAAACGAGCGCTTAGCCTAAAATAGCAGCTTAATCCTGCTGTGTTTCGTATGTTAAGTGTAAAGAGCCGCGGAATATTTTTACTGGAAACCAGGGATTCCATATTATTCTTTCGGGATGACAACGCATCTGCATTTTGATTCTTAATTGAGGATAGATGTAGATGTCTATGGGCCACAGAATCCATCATTTGGTGTGTGTGCTATTTTGTCAACTTTATTTTATAAAAAATATCCTCTGAGCTACCACGATCGATTACATTTGTTAATACTTTACGATTACTTACGATTACATACATTTATGATTACTTACGAGAGTGAAATGTACGAAGTCTATCCTAAGTTGCATGATCCCCGCATGAGTTTTCTCCACGGTTATGTTGCAGTCCTTTTCACCGTACCATAAGTCAGGGAACCCCGGTGACATGAAGTAAGTAAGGTTGTTCTGCACCGTTCCTCCGCAAGTGACCTCGACTGAAACAAAGTTACACTTAGCAAATGTTAGCTATGAATTAGGTATCTTAGAATAAAAAATATCACTCATGGACACTTAGAAGAACGTCATGTTATTTGAAAAAAGCAGGATTTTATTAACACACTTTTAATTTCTGATTTTCTTTTTTTATTGGGTGTATGTATTAATTTTGTTCGTGCGTACTGAAAACAGTTCGCCGCTTTTATTTTCAAATTCTATTTTATATTTTTTGGTTTTAGTGTTTACGATCACTCGAAGTTTTTCAGTGGTAATGCCGTATCTCAACGTAGCTCAAGTATACTTGAAAATAGTCAGACTTGTAATCAATTGGCCAAAACTGTAAGTTGGTGATTTTTCGCAATGTTAAACGATGCCGGCAGACTGGATATGGGACGTAACAGAAAGTCACCCAGTCTGCAATAAATGATCACATCCAAGAAACCCCAGATCCCAGTAGTAAGTAGTACTATTATAGGGCATGGTTATTGTAACAAGCACCAATTTACCATTGCTATTGCAGAAAATCAGTAAGGTTTGCATGAGGGAAAAACAAATGGTAGCTCACGTGTTACTGGTATGTCTGAAAATCTCCAATTTACAAGGTTTAATATCTCGACATGCCAAGATATAGTTAGTAAGATTAAGGCTTTACTTTTTACGTCTTCTAACTTCTTCGAGGAGATATCTCAACTCAAATAACTGCATTCCTACCCACAGGTGAAAGTCGTGTTGAAGACCTAGAGTTGCGAAAAATAGCTCATTACAATCTAAACTAACTTTACAAAATAGTAATAACAGCGAGGGACTTAAGGGTAAATATAACCTCAGGAATGGCATTAAAAGCAAGATCCTCCGTTATGCCGAAAATATTGCAGCATTAATTTTGAAATAAATATATGGTAAAGTTGAGGATTAATGTTAAGGACTATGTTGGACGAAAACACGATTCAGTAAAATTTTCTCGATAGAAAAAAAAACCAAAGTTACCTCCAAAATAAACAATAAACCGCTGTTATTCATAAAATACTTTAAATAAGATCTTGAAACTTTGCATGCTAACTGAACTAACTATAAAGCAGTGCTTATGTTATTTACTTTTTTTAATACCACTATTTTCACTGTAAAAAGAAATTACCTAAACTATCGGCATCTTGAGGCTTGATTCCTGATACCCGGTCAGTTTCGCTTCAGCCTTTGAAGGGGGAAGCTGTGTCGCTTACGATCAGAATACACATTACGCAACAGGACGACGTAAAATTAAAATGGGAAATAACCGTAATAAAAATAAGAAGCGACTGGGTTGGCGTTAAGAAACAGGCATAAATATGATAAACCTAATGAAGTAAATATCTAACGACCTATCTACTTACATACTACATACTATCTACTACATAGCATATGACGCGCGGGGAAGTGGGGGCCAAATTAGAATTTGAGCTGACTTACTATATCCTCTTAATAAATATTGCTAAGAATAAATCTGTTATTTATTGAGAACAATATTTATTTAGAAATCGTACTTAGACTTCCGTGGTAAGAACTAAGCTTCAGAATGCTCAGCAAGCGACATTTAGCAGTAAGACTAAAGGCAATTTTTTAGCGTCATACTTGACTACCTTTACTTACTTCGGGACATCGAGTACTGAATGTGGCACGGTACGGAACGGAAATTTTAGAAATAATTGTGATTCCTTTCAAAGTGGAGATAATGTTTTTTTCATTCATAATTATGCTCGGCCCTTTACTGCAGAAATGGTTTCGAAATATCTAGGTCCGTAATCGAGTTTTGGAGTGACCTACCCGCTCGTCGACCCTGAACCCGAAAGTATCGAAAAATATGGTTCGAATAATCTGGGAATACACGTTAAATAAAGAAAATCAGTTCTAGCGTACACTAGATAAGGTATTCGTACCTTAAAGTGCGTTTGTAGAATAATGTACCGCGTAGTGAGGGTGAAAGAAAATCTACCATCCTATATCATCCCGTGGAGGTCGTAAGACATAACAGAGAGAAAAAAATCAATAGATGGGCAACAGCGTCTTCCTAATAATGATTAAAAATTAAAAACTGCGGTTGCCAACCCGTCAACCTAGCATGGCAACTATGGGGGGAGAGGGAATCTCTATGAGTCAATCTATGGGGAAGGTCCTCTTCCAACTTAAGCAGTCGACTTTAGTGGACTGCAACGGTAACGGTGATGGTAGAAGAATGGATTCGAATCCATTCTTTGCCCCACAAAGTGTTATTGAAAATTTAATAAAAGTATGCCCAAACTAATACATAAAGTTTTAAGCAAGAGGACTGAAAAATACGAAGTGTGCCAAACATTAAAAAAAAATCTGCACATTATTACCACTTCAATGGTAGAAAATTCAAGAATTGTTTTTCCTAAAACTGCGATACACATTTGTGTCTCCAATATGCTTTTACTCAATTAGCCTAAATGTTTTGTTAATCACCGTTAAAATCACAACATTTTTTTCAATCACTACCTCAATAAAAACGATTATATTTGTTTATACTGGGTGGTCCAAAAGATGACTTCCAAAAAATTTTTTTGGAATGCTGACCTTTCGGACTACATGAAAATACCCCATATATGTTCTGCGATTTTTCTTAGTTTACGAGATATGATTTTTTTTGTATTATTTTGAAAAATGTCGACTTAGCGATTCAAAAATTTTTTTTCTTGAAAATTTTGCACTCTTTTTTACTTTTTTATTCTTAGCGTAGTTTTCATGAGTTGGACTCTTTGACATAAAAAAATAAGCTGCCTACCATTAATAAAAATTGCAAAAATTTTAATCGAAAACAAATTATGTAGATATGATTGATTCAAAGTTTAATTTTGAAATTTTAACTAAAAATTAAATAATGAGTTCCATGACTTTAAAGTAATTTTAAAAACTTCGCAAGACCCTAAGCTTTAATTATAATCTAAAAAAGTGGTGGTCAATGGGCCTTGTTTAGCCGTAATCAGCCTGTAATTGCACAGAGGTGAAAATTTTCAACATTATTATTTAAACACCTTATTTCTAAAAATAATTAGGTTCGCCATAGAATCTAATCAAATGAAATAAAATAAAATGATATGTAAATCTTCGGGTTAGGGATAGTACCACTTCAGTAAGTAGCACAGATGGGTCACAAAAAACAACGAATTTCCCCTCAATGTTAATGAGATAATGAATAATAATAGTAATAGGCAGGTAGACGGTTGCAGATCACAAAAAATACCACGTGTCGAACAAAGGAAGCAGGAGTGAGAAATAAATTATATACTGTGTCGTGTGTAGCGCGCTCTCTCGCTCTGGCCATAGCTCGCGCGCATAAGGCGACAGGCGTAGCCTCAGTCATAGAGTGCCTCAGTTGTTCACAGCTATCGCTCGCGTAACTACTACTCCGGTTTTTGTTTTCGATACTTCCTAATTTACCACGACTGCTTGCTAACTGGATTCTGTTTTGCCTTATAATTGATTTGACTGTGCTTGTGTTTCGGACTTTGATTGATTACCTTGTGATTTGGATTTTTGTGTTGCAAAATGAGTTATTCTTTGAAGGATTATGCAGAAATGCATTATTTTTATGGCGTTGCCCAAGGCAATGGCCATTTAGCGGCAAGGCTTTACTGAGAGAAACCAGAACGGCGAGGAGAAGAACGGAAACTTTATCCCGATCACGGAGTGTTCATAAATACACATAATACATTTATGGACGGATGAATTCCGGGACGCAGTTCCCACGAAGGAGTACCCAGAGTGGATCCAGATGTCAGAGATGAAGTCGTGGAACAAGTGCAAAGATATCCTTTTACTAGCACCAGAGCTATTACGAGAAAGATTTAATTGATCGCTCATCGCTATTGTGTCAAAGTAAAAGTTTTAAAGACAAAATGAACTTACCTGACTTAAGTATCCTTATAACTGAGGTTCGTGGTACACCAGTCTTTCTCGTAATAGCTCTGGTGCTAGTAAAAGGATATCTTTGCACTTGTTCCACGACTTCATCTCTGACATCTGGATCCACTCTGGGTACTCCTTCGTGGGAACTGCGTCCCGGAATTCATCCGTCCATAAATGTATTATGTGTATTTATGAACACTCCGTGATCGGGATAAAGTTTCCGTTCTTCTCCTCGCCGTTCTGGTTTCTCTCAGTAAAGCCTTGCCGCTAAATGGCCATTGCCTTGGGCAACGCCATAAAAATAATTCATTTCTGCATAATCCTTCAAAGAATAACTCATTTTGCAACACAAAAATCCAAATCACAAGGTAATCAATCAAAGTCCGAAACACAAGCACAATCAAATCAGTTATAAGGCAAAACAGAATCCAGTTAGCAAGCAGTCGTGGTAAATTAGGAAGTATCGAAAACAAAAACCGGAGTAGTAGTTACGCGAGCGATAGCTGTGAACAACTGAGGCACTCTATGACTGAGGCTACGCCTGTCGCCTTATGCGCGCGAGCTATGGCCAGAGCGAGAGAGCGCGCTACACACGACACAGTATATAATTTATTTCTCACTCCTGCTTCCTTTGTTCGACACGTGGTATTTTTTGTGATCTGCAACCGTCTACCTGCCTATTACTATTATTATTCATTATCTCATTAACATTGAGGGGAAATTCGTTGTTTTTTGTGACCCATCTGTGCTACTTACTGAAGTGGTACTATCCCTAACCCGAAGATTTACATATCATTTTATTTTATTTCATTTGATTAGATTCTATGGCGAACCTAATTATTTTTAGAAATAAGGTGTTTAAATAATAATGTTGAAAATTTTCGCCTCTGTGCAATTAGAGGCTGATTACGGCTAAACAAGGCCCATTGACCACCACTTTTTTTAGATTATAATTACGAGGGTGGATTGAAAAGTACTCGGCCTAACCAAGAAAATAAACACATACTAAATCAGTTATACTTTTATTTTTCTACATAATCACCATCAAGTTCAATACACTTTTGCCACCTCCCCTTCCAAGCATTTAGACCGTTGA